ACTTCCCAGCAGAAGTTAGAAGAGCCGGCTGGTTGTTTGCCATCTCCTTTCTCTGTCATGAGACTGGCAGTGTTCCAATTAGAGGCGGCTCCCAGAGGAAAGTGGAGCCCAGCCACAGGCACCAACCACAAACATCAAGAGTGAGAAACAAACCTTTGTAGCAATTGAGATGTTTCGTCATTCGTAATGGCGGCATAATGCTGCCTATCCTGACATTGAAGGGGCTGCAAGAAAAACCTCTCCTTTCCTATTAATCCATAGCCACCATCACACACCAGATCATTTAAACAATGGACCAAATAAATAACATTTTTAGAGGTAGTTGGAAAAAGATCCCTGGGTATAGGCATAACAGGATTAACCTTAGCCAGCATCTACCATAAAAACACGAATTGCCTGGGATAGGCCTAGCCTGGAAATCTATTTTACTTCTTCTCTATTTAGTCCCTCTTTCTTGTAGTTCCAAGTCAACCTCTGCAAAAATATTCAGATGGTGGTATTCTTCACATGCTTGTCAGTCTGTTACTATCACTCCAATGCATCTTGGGATGAGTCATAGTGGTTAAGAATTCAGCTGCTAACCGAAAGGTCAGCAGTTAGAATCCACCAGGTGCTCCTTGGAAACTCTATGGGGACGTTCTACTCTATCCTATAGGGTTGCTACGAGTCGGAATCAACTCGGCATCAATGGGTTTTTGGTATTCTACTCAAAGCATGGCCAGTGGACCATCAGCATCAGCATCACCTGGGAGTTTATCGGAAAGCAAATCCCCAGGCTCCACTCTAGACCTATTCCTTCCCACCCTACTGCCCTCCAGTTTACATTCCACTTGCTTCAGTTAGTTAAATGTAAGAATTGGCACGTCTACATGACATCTTTAAGTGCCTGCACATGGCCCACCATCTTTTCACTCTGCCAGGGGGCTGGGAGTATCCCAGTTAGGGGTTGCACCATCAGAGTCCTAGTGTGAATATGTACCACAACATATTCTGATTCACAATCATTTGGAAACATGTGCTAAACTGTTGAGACTTTGGGGTTCTTGTTACTGTAGCAGCATACTTTAACCTAACAGGACTGTTAAACATCCTTGGAAGAAAATGATACAATGTAAAGATGTGCAAGTGCTGTTTACATGGCATCATTTTTTGGTAGCTAACTCCCTAATAGTGACTTTTAGATATAGCATAGTGATCCCATGTGTCAGAGTAGAGCTGTGCTCCACAGGGTTTTCAATGGCTTTTTTTTCAGAACTAAATCACCAGGCCTTTCTTCTGAGGCACCTCTGGGTGGACTCAAACCTCCATTCTTTTGAGTAACAGCTGAGCATGTCAACCGTATGCACCACCTGGGTACTCCTATAGCAGCATAACCCAAACCCCTTGCCATCAAGTCAGTTCCGACTGATAGTGACCCTATAGAACAAAGTAGAACTGCCCTATAGGGTTTCCAAGGCTGTAAATCTTTACGGAAGCAGACTGCCACATCTTTCTCCTGAGGAAGCAGACTGCCACATCTTTCTCCTGGCTGGTGGGTTTGAAACACTGACCTTTTGGTTAACAGTTGAAGCTTAACCACTTGTGTCACCAAGGCTCCGCCTATAGCAGTATAGTACCTTCAAAAGCCACTACCCTTGCCAATTAGAATGGAAATATAAAACCAATTCTAATTGTTACGAGTAGGAACTAAGACAATTTTCCTTCATTGGCCTTGATGCAGATTACACAAAAGTATTTCAATTGCTATTTGTAAATTTTTTTAAGTTGCAGCTGGTTCAACATTATGAATGCGAACATAGTTATTTTTAGAAGCCGTATACCGAGGAAGCTTTCTGGGGTCATGGAATTGTTCAGTATGATGATTACGGTGGCAGTTACATGATACATGTTAAAATTCATGTAACCATATATACACACAGTAGTCAATTTTACTGTTAATTTAAAAAGTAAAATATTTTAAAACACAGGGAAAAAAAGATAGCCTTACATCTTTTCATTTAGTGTTATCACTTAAGGAAAACAAAAGTGATTCAGGAGGCATTCCTACTACAGTTTTTTTCAGTCACCTGATAGAATATCTCATATAGAAGGGAATTGGTGATTAACTACTTACACTTTTTTGAAATCCTACACCTTGGGTTGCATCTACAAAATGGGGCAGATGGGGCCCTGGGGCACAGTGGTAAGGACTCAGCTGCAAACCCACCAGCTGCTCTGTGGGAGAAAGGTGTGGTAGTCAGCTTCTACAGAGGCAGATTACAGCCTTGGAAACCCCATGGGGCAGTTCTACCCTGTTGTATAGGGTCCCTATGGGTCAGAATCAAAAACTCGATGGCAACAGGATTTAACAATTCCACACCACTTAACTGTCAGTTTGTTGTACTGTGGTGGCTTGTGCGTTGCTGTGATTCTGGAAGCTATGGCACCAGTATTTAAATATCAGCAGGGTCACCCATGGTGGACAGAAGGACCTGGCAATCTTTCGAAAAAACTGTTATGAACAGCAGAACATTGTGTAATATAGTGCCAGAAGATGAGCCCCTCAGCTTGGAAGGCACTCAAAACATGGCTGGGGAAGAGCTGCCTCCTCAAAGTAGAGTCAACCTTAAGACATGGATGGAGTCAAGCTTTCCAACATCTACCATAAGAAACAAGTTACCCTGGGATAGGCGTAGCCTGGAAATCGAATGTACTTTTCTATTTAGTCCCTCTTTCCTGTAGCTCCAGGTCAACCTCTGTAGATGAGTTGTGGGATGACATCAAGGACATCATACATGAAGAAAGCAAATGGTATTAAAAAGGCAGGAAAGACCAAAATGGAATGTCAGAAGAGACTCTGAAACTTGCTCTTGAATGTAGAGTAGCTAAAGTGAAAGGAAGAAATGATCACATAAAAGAGCTGAACAGATTTCAAAGGGTGGCTTGAGAAGACAAAGTATTATAATAAAATGTGTAAAACCCTGGAGTTAGAAAACCAAAAGAACACGCTCAGCATTTCTCAAGCTGAGAAAACTGACGAAAAAATTCAAGCCTCCAGTTGCAATACTGAAGGATTCCACGGACAAAATATTGAATGATGCAGAAAGCATCAAAAGAAGATGGAAGGAATACAGAGTCACTGTACCAAAAAGAAATGGTTGACATTCAATCATTTCAGGAGGCAGCATATGATCAAGAACTGATGGTACTGAAGAAGTCCAAGCTGCATCGAAGGCACTGGTGAAAAGCAAGGCTCCAGGAATCGACAGAATACCAACTGAGATGTTTCAACAAATAGATGCAATGCTGGAAGTGCTCACTTGTCTATGGCAAAAAATTTGGAAGACAGCTTCTGGGACATCTGACAGGAAGAGGTCCATATTCGTGCCCATTCCAAAGAAAGGTGATGCAACAGAATATGGAAACTTTTTGAACAATATCACACATAAGTAAAATTTTGCTGAAGAGAATTCAAAAATGGTTGCAGCAGTACATCAATAGGGAACTGCCAGAAAATTCAAACCAGATTCAGAAGACATGAAATTAGGGATATCATTGCTGATGTCTGATGGATCTTGGCTGAAAACAGAATACCAGAAAGGTGTGTTTTATTGACTATGCAAAGACTGTCTGGATCATGAAATTATGGATAACATTATGAAGAATAATCCTAGAACACCTAATTGTGCTCATGAGGAACCTGTACATAGACCAAGAAGCAGTCATTCAAACAGAACAAGGGGATACAGAGTGGTATAAAAATCAGAAAAAGTGTGCGTCAGGGTCATATCCTTTCACCATACTTATTCAATATGCATTCTGAGCAAATAATCAAAGCTGTACTACATGAAGAATGCGGCACCAGGACTGGAGACAGACTCATTAACAACCTGCCATATGCAGATAACACAACCTTGCTTGCTGAAAGCAAAGAGGACTTGAAGCACTGAGGAAGATCAAAGACTACAGCATTTAGTGAGAATTACAGCCCAACATGAAAACAAAAATCCTTACAACTGGACCAATAAACAACATCATGATAGGGAAAATATTTAAGTTGTCCAAGATTTCATTTCACTTGGATCCACAATCAACGCCTATGAAAGCAGCAGTTAAGAGATCAAGTGCCATATTGCACTGGGCAAACCTGCTGCAAAAGACGTCTTTAAAGTGTTAAAAAGCAAAGATGTCACTTTGAGGATTAAGGTGCACCTGACCTAAACCATGGTATTTTCAATTGCCTCATTTGCATGCAAAAGCAAGACAATGAATTAAGACTGAAGAATTGCTGCCTTTGAACTGTGGTGCTGGCAAAGAATATTGAATATAGCATGGATTGCCAGAAGAACGAACAGATCTTAGTACAGCTAGAATGCTCCTTAGCAGCACAGACGGCAAGACTTGTTTCACGTACTTTGAACATGTTATCAGCAGGTACCAGTCCCTGGAGTAGGACATCATGCTTGGTAGAGGGTCAACAAAAAAGAGAAAGACCCTCAATGAGATGGACTGACACAGTGGCTGCAACAATGGGCTCAAACATAGCCAACAACTGTGAGGATGGCAAAGCACTGGGCAAGTGTTTCATTCTCTCGTATGTAGGGTTGCTCTGAGTTGGAACCAACTTGACGGCACCGAACAACATTTCAAAAATTGAGTTCATGATATAAAACTAAGTGAGAAAATACATGTAAGGCACTTAGTATCTGTTTACAATAAAGGTAGACAAAAATAAGAGAAAAACCTTTGCACACCCAGTAAGGAATATTCTATCCTCACTTTATAATTACACCCACCACATATACCATGGAAACCCCGAGGACTGTTGGAGGGGGGAAAAGAAAAATCAAACATGAGAATATGATACCACCTTCGTTATATTATACCATGAGTTTAAATCTTTAATCAAATTCCATTAGAGGTTACTAGCCATATTACATGTCAAAATCAGCTTTCTATAAATGACGTTGCTTTCTTTGTACAAATCAGTTGCAATGGGGGAAAAGAAAAAAAAGACCATATACTAGGCAAAGAACTTTATTAACCTTTGTTTCAAATTTTATTCCCAGGCTTGTTCAGCTTATTTAGCTGCAAAGAATGAATTATGTATAAGCAAAAACTGAAAAGAGCTGCAATGTCCAAAAGGCTTGGGCTTAAAAATATTAGAGATCTAGATTTTATCAGATCCATAAACAAAACAATTTTAAAAAGCAGTCATAATATAAAATAGCAGCTCCAAGTAACTTCTTCAAGTTTCATCTTCTTCACAAGTTGACTCAAATCAGTTTGCCTCATCCTTGGAAGCCTCATCAAAATTCTCCACAAGATCTAGAAAAAGAAAAAAGAAACTCAGGAAAAAGCGAAATCTACAAATAATTAGATCTTCCCCAAGTTAAATTAGGATATAAATTTAATTAAAACATTTGTTTTTATTTCCAATAAGGTCACTACCCATCTGACACATTCAGAAATGTATGTAAAACAAGGAAAAGAAGGAAAGCCAGTAATTTGCCAATCATGTAAACACTGTGCTTAAGAAGTATGTACATACCCTTCCTGTTCCAGCCCCACTTCAAGAATTAAAATTAAGCAATGTAACATTGGTCAATGTAGAAGGCAGAACCAAAGAATACAGTAACAATTCTGAAGCTTTCCTGGGTTCCTAAAGACATCTATCTATGCACAATGGGAATATTTATGAACTCTGTAATTCTCCTCCCCAGTTAATATTTGTTCTGCAACAAAGTAAATTACCAGTAACAGCTGAGAGAGAATAATGCCTCATGATTGTCAAATGTTATTCTACCATAGATTTTACAATAGTTATATCCTGAGATACTTGAACAATTAACTTCTCCACGCCTTCTCATAAAATTGTGGATCTCAAAATAGGAAAAAAACTCATGCTGTGATATTCACATAGTTACTGTATTTAAGTCACAATGTATACACTTATTTACTCAATATTTAAAGTTACATAGCTACACCTCCCTGGAATCTCTAGGAAAAACAAGACAAGTCTACAAATGTAACTCCTAATTAAATAACACAACATTATTTTTCTCCTAAGTGAGTTCCCCGCCTTCCCTTTCAGCCCATCCCCCGAGTAGGGAGTCTTTTCTATAGTATGAAGATTCTTTACTCTTCATTGCTAAAACTGTCTATAGCTTAACCACAAGTGAAGGTTCCTACCTGGAACTTCATCATCATCATCCTCTCCAGTAGCAAGTGGTGCTTTTCCATCCACGGCTGTGAACGGGAGATGTAAATGTTATTCACACATTTGTGTAAGTCTTCAAAAAACATTAACCAAAAAAACAGATGCAAGTCAAATGCTGTTACAACTATATTCAGGATGACAGTAGTGACATGTGGGATTTCATCTATACTACTATCAATAAGATAAAATTCTGATGTCTACAAATGGACTAGAATATTAGTAACAGCCAGCAAACCAAATTCCACATGAATCCTTTTAAACCGAGGTAGTCGGAGAGCAATGGGAAGCCCTCAGGGAGGGCAAATGAAAAGGTCATTTTCTAAAATACCGTTGGCTTTGTGGACCGCTATAGACTCGATGTCTAGAACAATGCATGGCATAAGGTATGTGCTCAAAAACATTTACTGAAATAAAAATAATTACAAAATTAAAAGTATCTTTGACTGGTAAGCATCCACTTTCCTTTTACTGTACAAGAAAGTTAAACTACACTTGAGAGGCATGAGAACTCATAGTACTAGCCCTGTATGGATTTCAGTGATACTTCAAAACCCTACTTCAATTGTGGTAAGATGTTCTAGAACCTCTTATTCCTCTGAATATGACAATAAAAATATAAATTGAGGCAAAGCGAATCAATGCCTAGAAAAATATGGGTGACTAAATAACAAACCATATAATAAGCCTCTGACTTGCCTCTGCATTCTAGGCTTCAAAATTTTAACCAGAAGGCCTCAGCATAAAGTTGCTGCATCCCCTGATGCACACTGCACTATCTTCTGTCCTGAATAAAATCCCTACCAGAGTTTAATTTAAAAAAAAAAAAAAAA